GACACGGTGTAGTTTTAACATAGAAATTTTGCGCAATTTATGCAGTTCAGTAGGCCGAAGTAATTTTCAATTGGAAATATTTATACGCTATATGAAATGAATCTTTTGAAGGCGCAGACAAGAAGAACAAGCTCAGCTTCTTCTTCTGATTGCTCTCTAGTATAAGTTTGCGTTTCAGGGAAACCATTCACTATAGAGGTTAATTAAGGTATCACAAAAACAGATGTTAAGTTCACAGTGTCACCAACACGAGTAAAAACCATAGATTCTTTTTGTCAACAAAAACGGATGTATGTAGGTGAAAAACAAATTTGTACGTACTGGTAACAAATCCAAAAGTCAGAAAACATGATAACTGTCACCTACGTACTAAATTAAAGTATATCTTAATTAAAGTATACTTTGCCCTATACGTCAGCTATACGTTTACACACAACGATTAATCGGACCGATTCAGCTTTAATTAAACGACATTTGAAAAATACGCTGTCAACGTCGTCTGGCGACATCGAACTACTGACAACATGCGTAATTAACATTCGGCAAAACCTGAAATCGCGATCACGACCAGTGCTCTCACTTTCAAGGCATTCGAAAATTTGATTGTGAGAGCACTGATCACGATTTACGGAAAATAAAACAGCATGATAGCGATTACAAGGCCAGCCCCAGTCTTTTCAAGCATGCTGACTAGAGCACGGTCAATCCGTATTCGGGTTAGCAACATGTATATTCTCAGCTGACTCCAGCTAATAATCCTCATACTGAGAGGTTTGATGGAAGATAGACAAGTTTCACGTACGGGAAAAAAATGGCAATTCACTCTTCACGAAAATAACCTTTATAGTCTTTATTTAAACAGGGTAATTCTATCAACTATTATTATTATCATCTATTATTTGTAGTTTAGTGTGTATAATATTTTGTTATATAATATCATGTAATCCACACGTCCCTCGTGGAAATCAGCATATTGGCCATATACTGTTGACGGGGCCAGCGTGTGATCTTTTAAATAAAGTTTTACCTACCTACCTATACCTACCTAGCTTTATATATAAGAACTGTTATCAACAGAAACCCTGCGATAGGACAATTACAGATAAAAACTTGCTATAGCATATAGACTATATACAATTAAAAGATATGATAAAATATAAGGTAATATATTAAATTAGTTCGTAAGCCATCGACAAATCACACTAATAAGGTTATTTTTTTATGCATTCATTATGAATAGTACATCCAGAGTAGTAAAAAGATCTTTGAGCACAGTGTGATCGCATTTGAAATGAAATTGTCTCTACATGCGAACGCATATATATAGCTGAGTCGTGAAACGCATGGTTGTTTTGAAACAATTTTTCAAAAAGAAGTGATTTTTAACTGAGAAAATTGATTATGCAAAACAGGAAATTTTTTCATGTGGATACAAAACCTCTTCATGAATTATTAGTGAGTCTTACAAGAGTTATATGAACTAAAACTGGTTTACTTACTTTTATTTCTGATACCAAATTAAGACGAAGCTTCTTTTGCTCTTATTCTTTACGCTGTATTTACTGATCTTTATAAATGCTCTATTCCCCAGATTGGTCCTTTTTATACTTCACAAACAACTTAGAGAAACGTTTAGAGATGACGTCAATTTCATCATAATTAAGAGTATCGATTGCAGGTGTTTTAGCTGTATCATGAAGAGATCATCCCATGTGAAATGTCGAGAGCCGGGTTAATTAAAATATGTACATCCGTTTTATCATGCGTGTATGAAGTTGACTAGCATGCACATGGATCATCACTGATAAGGTTTCCGTTTTCATTATCCACCTATCATGACCTAGCTCATTTAAAGCACGTATGACTGAGTAGGCGCAAGCTTGTCAAGGGTTGGGGGCGTTGTGAAAACCCGGAATGCCGGAATATCACGGAATATGGCGGAATATCACGGAATATGGCGGAATATCACGGAATATGCCGGAATATCACGGAATATGCCGGAATATTGCGACATTTTCCCGGAATAATACCGGAACATCACGATATTTTCCGATGGTAGTCATCAGCCGCTTATCAGCGCGCGTCAGGCGTTGGCATTGCCGTTCACGTTTCTCCCGTATGTTATAGTTCCAGATAAAAGACATGGGCCAGTTGTTGAGAGCTGGACAAGTTTAACCCTAGGTTAACCTAAGATTCAAAGCAAACTTCCCACTGAGCTTCTTTATAAATTTGGAAATATTTCTTCAGAAATCTTGTCTGGACCAATGGGAGTTTTTTCCTCTGACGTTTTGAAATAAACAGACGTGCAGAAATACATAAACTAAAACAGCGGGTTATATTTTAACCCAGGGTTACCGCTAATCCACCTTTGAACAACTGGCCCCATGGAGTTCACTGGCTATTGCATGTCTTGTCGGTTAAAGACATTAAATGGCAGGTATACCTCGGATGGGCAATAGCTTGTTGGGAAATCCGTTTGCCGAGCACGTGTTTTAACAAGGCTTGAATCAACCACACCCTGTGTATTCGACATTTGAATGACTCATTTATCATATCACGCGATTCATGCTAATTATAATTTCGAACGTGCGTGACTCACCATCTATATACAGTATGCTTCCGATTCATATGGTACACACATGCTATTAATTTGCAAATATACGTGCATGTGATTTGCTACATCCTGCAATGACTATATTACGTGATAGATTCGCCATTGAAAACCATATCTTAATTACACTTGCACTATGTGGTTCCAATTTTCAGGTGCATACCCCTGTATAAATTTGTCATCACTAGGTTGTTACTATTGTTCAATATTGTAGGTCTGTGCCAAAGTTCTCCTTGTATTTTTCACGTATAGTTCTATCCCTACCAATTGTTCATTGTAAAATACTGGTTCCGGAACCGGACTTTTTTTGAGCTTTCTAAAATTAACCCTTGACTGGTACAGTTCAGATTAAGTTTTGCATTTGTAAAGTTAAAATTTCTTTTTATTACTCAATTGTGACTTTCATGCATATCCATAAAAATGCATATCCATATCCTAAAAACGCGCAGGTTGTTGCAAGTTGATATCGACAGGCGTGAACAATGTTGTGCGGCCAACTATGAACAAGTTGTCAACCATGTTGTTCCAAGTTGTTACAGTTGAACAATGCTGTAACAACATGTTGACAATACTGTTCATAGTGGGCCGCACAACCTTGTTCACGCCTGTTGATATCAGTTGTTGATTTTCTCAATTTTTACGCATGTAGTTCAAGCATCTTTACAGTGGTTGAAAAAATCACTAGCTACTTCATGATCCCGTGGTATGTAGTTGCCTTCGCGCAAACGGCCCCTAGAAAACGGCTTCCGACATGTATTCATATTTAGGATTTCCTAGTTCCTTTAATTTTTGCCTCTCTGACCCTGACATTCAATTAGAGGAATTTATTAAGAACAATTAATTGATAATGCTTCTCGACTCACAGCTTAGCAAATTTAGCCCGGCTGCGTTCCAGTCCGAATAAAATGAAATATAAAATCCCAGTTATATTGAGATGTGATATATTCATCATGTGACGGTCTGTGGCTATAGCTGGCCTCTATACTCATTTGATATAAGTGGCTGCGGTTTTATCTTTCGTCTATATGCAAATAAATGGCTCTATAACTTTCAAAATTCCATATTCTTTTTTATAAAGAGTGAAACTTTCAATATCGCGAATACTTGAATGATTTATCGCGAGAAAAATTACGGTCAGAATGAACATCAAATCAAGTCGATTTAATTCGTTGATTAATCGACTTCAAATTAATCGATTTGCTACAATTAATTTATTAATTCGATTAATTTATTACAATCTGAAGAAATCTAAGGGCCTCCACAGACAAGAGATTATTTAGCAATTATTTCATCGTCGATAGATCAGGAACTAATCTGTTATGCCGAAGAAATATGCATTTAAACAACACATCTGTTTCCAATCTATATTTTGTTTCATCTTCAGCAGCATATTTACAAGATTCCGGGAATCTATATTTTGATTCATCTTCAGCAGTATATCAGTTTACAAGATATGGCGAATCTTGTAAAGATATTGTTGAAGATGAATCAAATAAATCAGTAGGAAGAATTCCGACGTTTCGAGCGAAGGCCCTTCATACTTTTTTTCGGAATAACGGCATTACTCCATTAGTTTTATATTTGTTGAAACCAGCAGTTCAGCCGGTAAAGGATTCAGGAACTAATCTGTCGTCGACTGATATAATAATTGACGTACATAGGGACGAGTTCGATTTTTAAGACTCTTTTAAAAAGTATATGACACAGCGATTTTAAATTAAATTAAAGTTAACGTCAGTTTCACGGCATGTTTAAAAATTATGAGAAAAACATTGTTTCTGTTATTGCAGTAATGTACTTTCACCGACAAATTAAGCCACAAGAACTGCTGTCCAAAAAGTCGATAGATTCAATATCCTGCACAAAATCGCGAGCTCTTTTCACCGACTATAAACTTTTTCTCTTTTCTACCACGGGAAACAGAAGCCGTAATGTATAACAACAAAAATATGACAATGTGTGGGTCGCCACGCATCATCCGTGTGAATATATAATTGTACTTAAACCAAAACTCTGGGGGCCCTATAGCCAGTATAGGCTATGACTATTTATATATCGATTGTTACAATGTTACTGCTCGCATTAGAACACGACGAAAGCGAAGCATTTTACAATTTAAAGTATAACATAAAATTGGCAACAGCGCTGCATGGCTACTTGGCAACAAAAGCTTGTCATCCCGATAAATTTACCGAATTTATTATGACTGTTTTATAGGATTATATGGTTTTATGTACGCGATTACTCCTGGCAAAGGTCTACAAATACTAATTGGTATGTTGATAATTAATATTGATTATGTGTATATATAGTCATTATTTATCTATTGTGAATTGTTACAGAAAATATATGCGTTTTTACGGAACTCGATAATATATTCAAATCCTACCTTTGGTAGCATTATTCATTTTTTCAAACATACAAGCCATTGAAGTTGATGTAAAAAAAAATAACCACAATAAATTTACGTCCAGCAAAGATCACTTTTTATCCACCTTTCACCAACGCTTTGCAACAACGACTGTTTCCGACTCTTTGAATCTTATACTGTGTGTGAAATCGTATATATATTGAATTGTTTAAATAACAAGTATATAAGTCGTGTGGCATGACCACGGGCGGGAATCGAGTGTTTCCTCAGCGTAAGAGCTCAAGCAAATTCTTGACATATCTTCCGCCCCAGCCTTGGAATATTTATGTCGCCTATATAAGAGGTGCTGGAAATACGGGGGCCGTGTAGCCAAGGCCCAGGAATGGCTGCAGGGCGAGGAAATATGGTCCCCTGTTAGAATATGTCTGTGTATAATTATAAACTATATCTATAAACCCACAAACAGAACGATCTCTCGTACGCCGATCACTCGTCTATACCCTGAACAAACGATCGATCAGGAAAAAACAGTTTTGTTACCCGCAGTTATAGCGGATTATCACAGCAAGAGCAAGATGATTTAGACTATTATCGACTGTGCATAGATAGCGATATTCTAGATCGGTTGGTCTTGTGTTACCATGCAACTAAGCCGTGTTTATATATATACACTACGAACATTGGTGTGGTTTGAACCAAGCCCACAAGGGCAACCAAGGTAATATACGTTTTTACACTGTTTGCATTGTCACATTAAGGCTTGGCTTGGCCCAAGTCAACGATCTCAGTAGGCCCTGCAGATTTTCTGACCTGGATCAGGTGGCTATAGGCCAATTTGTTTACACTACAAAAACGTAGGCCAATTAAAGGATCGAAGGCTCCGGTCTAGCCAAAGCTCCGTCGTACTGTAGAGATGGCGGTAATTACTAATATTTAATCAACATAAATATCTGTTTTGGTATATATAGATACACCTGATAAATACCACAAGAATACATTAATAAGGAACAAACCAATAGCGGTAGCCTACTTTAAATGAGTTTCAAAAATTGTCAGAACATCGTAACTATATACACATTGCATAGTAATTATATATAGAAGTTTCGTGTGGTTAGTGCCACTTAGCGACGGTTTATATATGCACTATCGAGGTTTCTTTAAATTGGGTAATCAAATTGGTAGTTGTGAAGGCGTCTTCAGTGGGCCTCTTACACTGGTTTACATGGGTGGAAGTGCTCTTCTGGTGGTTGACACTATCAAAGTTTCTTATTTTCGTCAGAAGGTGCTTTGAATCGCCGTCTTTGATAAAAATGACCTCAGGTAATTGTGATTGTCGACACTTGACCTCAGTCAAGAGGTTTACCGAGGGGCTCACAGCTATATAAGTCTTTGATTAAGTCTGCTTCAAAGACAAGTTTCTATCCATGAAGCTTTCTCGTTTTCAATTCTAGGTCTTCTATCACCGTTACTTGCAGCTCACCTCCCCACCCCCCACCCCCCACCCCGCCCTACACACGGAATTAAGTTTAAATTTATAGTGTATACATCCGTTCCTGCTTTCCATTCGACTTCTTTACTTATTTGCATACATGATAAAACATTTTCTAAATCTATAACTGCCCCCGCAGTACTCGTCATATGAACAACAACGCCAAGCTCGTCGTCAGCTGGCTGGAGTTCACCATGACTCATGATATATTTTGATTGTGAAAAATTCCGTTAAACCACCGCAAAAACCACAATATTCCGCATAGCCTCAAAGGTGAGGCCATGTCTGTTCTGCGCATGCAAGTGCTATGCGAGGGCACTCTGGCGTAACTGAACAATACCCAAATTTAACATGTTCTAAATTGAAACTCTATAATCTATATTAATTTAAAAGCATAGCGAACCAGAACGATGTTAGATATTAACTAGTACATTATATTTTATGAATATAGTATCTTCAAAATGTAACTCAAACTGCACATCTGCTGAACGGACTTGACCGCCTTTATAAAGGTACACTATTTAGCACGTCAATAAAATGTTTCTAAAACTGCCTTGGCGCAATATTGCGCTTGAAATACATTATGTACGTATTTACAGAGTGAACTGAAATGCCAGTTACATTGCTATACGATACAATGACAGAATGACCCGATGTCCGACTTCGTACTCTATAACCAGAGGTAGTAAAGACAATGTACATATCAGCGATACGTAGGCTTAAGTGTATATTAATATTTCAACGAGTTTATCACTTTTGGTCAATTTTTCAGTATTTTATTTGAGGATAAGGAGTGCATAGTACTTATAGTTGATTCAGTGTTATTGTTATTTTAATTTTTAATTTCACAAATTTATTTGGATCAATAATGCATACAATATTATCAATACAGTTTTATATAAATAACTCATAAAAATTAATATAACTTGAAGATCCAAAAAGGCAAAGGTACGAAAAGGTTGAAAAAGGACCCATGCAAGGCACCTGCCAAGAATATAGATTTTGTGTACTTAAACGTTACACTTATTTTAAAATACACTCATGTATATTAAAAATTCTTAAATGAAGAATGAAAGTAAGAAAGAGAAAGTATATGATAGGAAGTGTAGAGCGATAGAGTAAGTATAAGAAAGACTGCATGCGGAAAGATGAGAAATCAGTAATATATGAGATATAGACATACGAACAAGCAGCTGTGTCCTATGGCAAGGACATGGAGTCGCATGGCGCATGCTATAAGGACCACGTACAGGACAAATTATCATCATGGACTGTATGACGAAGATCAGAGTAGTTATACGCTTAAGAAATCAATATAATATTATATCATTATAAATTTTTGCTTCTCCAAAAATGGTTTCTCAGAAACAATTACATGCAAATATATATATATATATAGTACTTCCTATCCGTAATTCAAACTAGTACTAAACATAGTAACGCAAACTTTGTTAATTAATAACAACACAAACAACACAATGTATCACATCACAGTTAATAGAAATTGGCTCATAACTGTGATCACATTCAGGGTTGAAAGGTTTGGAAACACGCGGGAAGGTATGGTTAGAAATGAGGAAGTACTGAAGAATCTCACATATGATTTGATAAACATACTTGTATTACACCGCAATAGTTATATTTATTGCAAACTAATTACTAATTGGCTCCGTACTGAACATGCAATCAACACGACACGTGCATTTGGAAATCATGCATAGACCACGTACACACGAAAAAATCTCAAATATCTCAAAAGTTGTTGGGACACATCCAGTTTTAGATTGCAAGTCGATCCAATACAGCCTGTCACATTGTACTGATCAGATTTGTTAGAACAACCTTGTAATAAGTCTGATAATGCATGCATCAAGCGTGTTACAAGTTGTTAACAGCTTGTTCCCAACTTGTTACAACAACTGGGAACAAGCAGTGCGAACACAACATGTCGACAACTCATTGTGAACAGATTTGTAACAACTTGTTTGCAGACCTATGACGACTTGCGCGTTTTTATGTGTGTACTCTCGCACGAATTCTGCATAACATCTGAAGTTTTAACGAAGTTGGTATACACATTCAAGGCCCCAATTTATACACGATACGGTTACACTAACGAACAAGTTTTCACTTCATGAATTACCCGCTCTTAGCTTCACGATTAAACTTTGATCCACAAAAATACCTTTGGTCCGGTATTTTCGACCACCATATATACTAACATTCCTATTAATAGGAGTACCATGGGTGGCAAACAAACAAAATAGTAAAATTAATAAATAAAAAAAACATTATTATTATTATTAATATTTAGTTTCGCGTGCTTACCATTTTTTCGTTCAGTCTTAATTTAAATCAGTCGCGCGATCCTATTAAATTGAAATGCGACGTTTTCGCGCAGTTTTAATTTCACGAAATTTTACTGAAAGCACATTAAATGATAGTCTTTCTGTATTAAAATTATACATTTGGCATGGGTATTTAATTAACATTTCCTAGCCACCCCGAAACTGCCTCCTAACACGAGTGCCACGAGGCAAAATGTCGTCAAAATTAGTTATTCCAATTTTCGAGTTTGTGTTTGAAATACTTGAAAAATACTATAAACGTTTTGTTATCGCGCTGTAAAATAAACTAGTTCAACTCAAGGGATGAATATAACTCCGCAGTTGGGATGCTGTGATCCCGGTTGTCCGGTGCTTACTGAAAGGAAATTCTTACTAAGCAGATTATCACAGCCGGGTAGCCCACCCGCAAAAGTCACTTTGTGACGTCATAAACAGCACTTCCAGTCATTCTTGTATACTTCAACAACCATAGCAACGGTAACATAAGTATATCCAATTGCCAGCCACGCATTTATTGTCTTTAAGTATATTTAAGTGATTCTTTATCATGTTAAAAGCATACAATAATTCTTTCAAATATGAAAATAGTCTGGAACTTGTGCCAAAATTAGAATATAATATAGTCTGAATATATATTTTCATAACTATAAGTCTTTTTCTTTTCTAAAATTTCATTATCTATTAAATTTTTCTCGACATTTATATTGAGTAAGTGTTACTGCAGTGCCAATAACTTGTCATGCATACTGACTCATCTTGACAGAAATCTCTTAGTGAAAATATTTTCGCATGTAAATATAAGTTCCCTGTTTAAATAGGTTTTTCCCATGGCGGGTAGCGAGAACTGATATTAAAAATCAGTCACACTTTGTCAATATGGCAGTAAGAACTTGTCCTTTTATAGTTTGTAAATCCCACTGTTTTCCCATGCAATATATCATAACTAATATAAGCTATATGAAGTATTTTATAGACCCTTTTATAAGACTCTTTATTTACTTCAAAGCTGCACGTTACTGACCTTTAAAGCAAGGTAGCGCAACCACAGATACCTATATTATATTATTGTGGGCACGTTTACACCATGTCTAGAAATAAAAAAAATATGGACGAATCTTTTCTCACATAAAAAAATTGCCTTAAATTAATTTAAGCGGCACTTCGACTCGACCACACTCGACCCACGCCCTTGTGGATTGATGAAGGGTCGCCGCTACAAAGGTCAAAAGCGTTTTTAATATTTTCCAGGTAACACACCCACCTTCGCGTAGCAGATGGTACTCGGGCTGGAGTGATCAGAACGAGGAAATAAACGTGTTTTTTATCGTACAAAAAAGTTATGTATTTAGTGGCAAATATATGCAAAAGAGAGAGACTTAGTTTCGGGCCTGCATGTGAGGCTACACTGGCTAATCGCTGTTGCGAATACCCTGCCATATAGTCTAGTTAATTCGTTAAATTATTACTTTGTAATAACTGTTAAGACTATCTGGCAAAGTTAATAAATTAAAATTAAATTAAATTAAATTAAATTAAAAAATAAATTAAATTAATTAAATTACACAAGGCCGTCGCGAAGAGGCTTAGACAGGAGGGGGGATTGTATTTGCCGACAAGAGCTAAAATTTCAACCACTAATTAATATTCCGGACATAATACTTTCTATTTTCGTTTAATTAATTTTTTCTTGATGTTTTTGTTGTTTTCGTAAATTTCTCAAAATTTTAGCTTCAGTTTTTAATCAGTGTCACTGAAATATTTCCGGGTATTTTCCCCTTCCTATGCAATTCATGTTTTGCCGACTACAAAATTCGAAAATAATTTTGCCGACTGAGATTCAATAATTCGATGTAAAAATCGCCGACAAAATCCTTCATTTTGCTAGTGAATGTATTTTTTGTAGATGGAATTGACCACTTGCGTAATAGACTAAATTTCGATCTCACTGACAAAAATTTCATCACAGCTTGAAAGAGAATCACAAAATTAGTAATATTCCAAAGTTTCGTTGCGAAATGTTGTAAAATGCGGATAATATAGCCTTGCGAAATTTGCAATTTTCAGTCATTTTAGATTACAAACGGGAAATTGACAGGCTGACAGCCCAATTGGCAATACCCTTTGGGGCTGTCAATTTCCCGTTTATAATCTAAAATGACTGAAAATTGCAAACTTCGCAAGGCTATAATCCCTATATTATCCGCATTTTACAACATTTCGCAACGAAACTTTGGAATATTACTAATTTTGTGATGCTCTTTCAAGCTGTGATGAAATTTTTGTCTAGACTTGTTTAGATCAAAATTTAGTCTATTACGCAAATGGTCAATTTTCCGAACGCAAATTTATATGTATTTATTAGACCTATAACCAGGAACAGTTGCGAAAAATGCAACTGCAGCTACCTCTGGCATCGAACCTGCAGGCTGCAGCCCTGCGATTCGACTGAGCTACAAATGCAGTGCCAGTAGAGCTACAAATAGACCATTTGCATTATAGACTAAATTTTGATCTAGACAACAATTTCATCACAGCTGGAAAGAGCATCACAAAATTAGTAATATTCCAAAGTTTCGTTGCGAAATGTTGTAAAATGCAGATAATATAGCCCTGCGAAGTTTGCCGTTTTTCAGTCATTTCGTATTACGCACGGGAAATTGACAGCCCAATCGGGTGTTGGGGCATCAATTTCCCGTTTGTAATACAAAATGACTGAAAATTGCAAATTTCGCAAGCTATATTTTCCGCATTTTACAACATTTCGCAACGAAACTTTGGAACATTACTAATTTTGTGATGCTCTTTCAAGCTGTGATGAAATTTTTGTCTAAACTTGTTTAGATCAAAATTTAGTCTATAATGCAAATGGTCCATTCAGACTCCAGTGGAGCTTATAACCACAAATCGAATCTCGCCAACATTAGCTAAATCCAACCTTGATGCGTATCATAATACGACAATTTTTATTTAGTCTTGTCAAGTATTATATTACAGATCATTTAGTATTTACATTCTTCTGTTCAAACACTGAGGGCATTTCTTTTCATTTCATTTTCACTTCCATTTGCCTGGTTTTCGATATTTGTACAACAGCAACGCTGTAGCTAAGGACAGACCATACCTAAAACAATTTTAAAGTACACATCACCACAATGATTTCGAGGCTATACTGTCCGAGTCTGAATATGTAGTGTTATAAGGCCTATTTCTACTCAGGGAAATTTTCCCCAGAACTGAAAATTTTGTAAAATGTGATTGGAAAAAAATTACAATTAGAGATTAATAGTACGAGTGATGTTTGGAAATTTTGCCAAAATTGGAAGATCGAGCCGCCGGGGCGACTCCAATTTGGCAAAATTTCCCAACATCACGAGTCAGGGTGTTAGCTACAGTAAAAAAATTCCGCGTTAAACGCGGTTTTCCCAATTACCTTGAGGTCGCAAATTACCAGTTTGGGTCAGCCAAAAAATAGTTATAGAAATTCAATGTTGTTAATACGCCATTAAAAACATGTTTATAACTACATTTGCTTAAAATTACTCCAAAAATGCGGGAAATGCCATTTCAAAGACACAAAAAGTTTAAAAATCGAGAGGGGGTAACCGCTTGCCCCCAGGCCCAGATCCACAAAGAAATGCCCGGCTTCAGGCTATAATAAATTTCCCAATTTCAGGTAAACGCGGATTTTTTTTTTACTTCTGGCTAACACCCTGCGAGTACTACTAATCCATAATTGTTTAAATACTTTATTGGGTAAATATAATAATTATTTACAAAAGACGTACTAATACTATGCGTGCAAAGAACAAATATATTACCCAAATGGAAGAGGTGCGAACGGAACGTAAATAATTTGCGCTATCCATGCAAGGCACCTTTCCAACAGAATACATGTAAATATAATTTACTATGTAAATACTAATAACAGGTAACTTTATACAGCGAGACAATTAACTCCTATGACAAGGACAGGCACGTGACATAGACCAAGTACATAACAAGTTTACATCGAACACGGTCGATACTAACATAGAATAATGATTAAAGAGGTAGTATTTAAATGTTTTCACACTAGAGAATGTATTTGGTGGAGCTACTCTACAAACACTGTTCCATAATTTCACGATCCGGTTGAAATATGAGTTCTGATATGTTGTGGTTTTACACAATGGAGTCTTGAGCAACAGGTTGGGATTACGACATAGACGGGAGTGGTTATGGGTTACAAACGAGACATAGTCATGAACATTGAGATCGGAAATACCATAAAGAGCCTTTGTAGAAGAACATTAGATCTTTTATCTCTCTATCATAACACAAAGGTAGTAAGTTCAGATCAACGAGACGCTCATTGTAGCTGGAGTCACCCTTTCTAGCTTTCAATATCCATCTAGTGGCTCGCCTCTGCACACGCTCTATCTTTGTCTTCTGTGAGCACAAGAATTGTACGAGTAACATCGCATGATTACTTGTTTATTGTTACTCCATGAGAAAATTGGATAATTCTCAATGTCAACATCATATTCTCTCGCCAAAGCCCAGTCCTGCCAGACGTTCAACCAAAATTTGGTGCTTTTTGATTTTCATTTAGTTATTTTGCTTTAGTTCATCTAGGGCAATTTCATTTGCGTTTAAGTACCTTTCCGCCATTTTGTTTGTTTTGGGAAAATCAAAAATTGTACTGCAGTACAATTAATGAAATAATTGTACTCTCAACCAATCAGCATCCAGTAATTTTGTCATGCTAATAATAAAGAGTGTAATTTCCAGTCCAATTTGAAGTTGTTCCTTGGTTTATAGAATTGATAGAGCTATCCAGTGTGAATTACGTTCATTAAGTTTGTAGCATTATTGACTTATAGCAATCTGCTAGTATTAAGCTAGTTTAAGCTATTTAAATCTTACCAAGTTATAATGTACTGCAAATGTTCATTTCTCAGGTAAACCCTTGTCTGCCCTCCAATCGGTCCGCCAGCAATGGTACTTCCTTTTGTTAAAAAAATTAAAATAATATATAATACATTTTAATAAGACGTACTGGTGTATGGAAATATTAGGGCGACCAAACAATAAAAAAGCAAGGCGTGCACTGGGCATTTTCCTAACGAGTAAATAACATCTGGCATTAGACAGACTAGTAAAATAATAAAGTAAGGCGTATTGGGACGCAATGTTAACTATACACACGTGGGAAGATAGTCTGATTAACCCATTAAGCTCCAGCGCTCTCCCCTTGACGAATAAAATCGTCTGGCATTAGACCACAATGCGACTCAGTGCGGTTAACTATATAAACACGGGGGCAGATAGTCTGATTAACCCATTGAGTATTAATAATGCGTTCTCCCTTTGACAAATAAAATCGTCTGGCATTAGACCGCAATCATTTATACAAACAATTGGAAGAAAATATATTGATCACATATGAACATGTTCATAAACTAATTCCAACACAAAAACCTTTCTAGGAAACACTGATTCCAAACAATAGACGTATTGTATATGGTAAATCCTAGTGCTAGCCCCCCTCCCTGGTTCAATATGATAGTTTCGCAAATTTTTCATCACAGAAACAGATTTTCACCGAAACAGTTGAACGTAATGAATGTGAGTTATGGGGATAAGCGCGGATGAGAGTGCGTGAGAGATGACAGTCACGCGTCCTTGGTTAGCTGTTCCAAGGCTAACGTAGCCTTGTAGCCACGTACCACGTAGGTACGCTGAACTCTCGCTATTTGTGTACTTGCATCTTTTCTGGTACCTTACGACCTTACCAAGCCCAATGTATTCAAACCGTAATTAAGCTGGTATATATGGGCACCTCTGACATGTTTTGGCATGAAAAGTTATTGGACTGATGGAACTAAGCCTAAGGAATGAGTCGATTCTAGTGTTTGTGCATGCAGTTGTCGTCCTTCTTGTTCTAACTCGTGGATTCAGGTTACTGAATTAGAACCTTTCAGAAACCTGTACTTTATGTACTTCATTTTAAAGACTAAGTACACCTTGAATCTTAAGTATGTACCAGCTCAAGTACGCGGCAATAATCATTGGAGTACCAGTCGGGTACGACTAAAAATCTTGAATTGTCGCACCCTGTGTTCTTAATGCTTTCCCAACACTATCATGTATTCTATTTAAGTCAAAACATACACGCGTAAAAATCTTACATCTTGTATAGCAAGTCTGCCAACAAGCTATCAGCAAGTTGTCTTCACACTGCTTGTCCCAAGTTGTCAACAAGTTTGGAACACGCTATTAACAACTTGTAACAACCTTGTTGATATTATCAGATTTGTTGCAAGATTGTTCTAACAAAGTCCGATA